ATGTCTTCCTCATTGTTTCTCTCCCCTCCTCTCACTCTGGCACTTCCTTCTCCTCCCTCCAGCCTCTCTATCTACCCATATATATATTTAATTTGTATTTCTCATTCTTTTTCACCCTCCTTCTAACTCTCTTTGTATCATTTTTTTCGAAAGCTTTGACTTGAATAAATTTTTTAAACTCAAACTTGTTCCTTGAATTACTTGGACCTTGACATCTTGATTTCCAATATTTAGCCTAGGCTATTTTGAGTGCCTTTTTCTTTTATATGGAAATTTTGACCCTAAGCCCCTAAACCATGGGTCACCAAATATTTTTTCACAGTGGGCTGGACTATTGACCAAAATGACGAGCGTGGGCCGCACAATCACCCTGTTCATTTCGACCACGGCCCCCTTTCTAGGGGAAGAAGATCCCGATACTTAGGGAATTTTTACATCAAACTGTTCGATAACCGAGACGTGATTTCAACAACAACATTTTTATTTGAAGTTTATAAGGCCCGGTAGAGTCCATATTATAAGTGATCATAATTTTCCGCCTTGAGCAATGCGATGTCATGGGGCAGCCATTCACAGTCACTCACCAGTGGTGTTCTCATAGTGTCATGCATAAGACAATGTCTGTGGTGTGTGAAGGCACTATGAAATCTTTGGGTAACGGAAGGCTTTAATGAGTTAGTCATGTGCAAAAGTTGAGAGTTGAAAATAATTAGTTCCAAACCAGTATAATTTTTAAGGGGCGCCTTGTCTTACGACGCCTTAGGGGTCGTTCGTCAATTACGTCAAGCTAAAAATGATCAATTTAGCCCCTCCGCCCCCCCCCCAGGGTCATGAAGTGTCACTTATTCTTTTACCCCCGCCCCCCACCCCTCGAGTGTCACATCACACCCAAAAAAAAATCAAAACATTCATACAAATTTTCATAACTAAACTACGATTTTATTTTATTTTTTAACATTTTCCCATAATAGATCAAGATGTTGTATTATAAGAAAATGGAGTTCTATAGATCTAGTACCTATTATACATGATGTATTTCGGCCTAGAAAATTAGAAAATGTTAAATTTTTTTTTTTAAATGTGACAACACAAACGTTTGACCCCCCCCCTTTTCTCCCCACCCCCCGGTCCCAAATTGTCACAAATTCTCTCCGCCCTCTCCCCCCCCCTGAGTGTGACGTAATTTGCCAACGATCCCTTAAGTAGTCTATATACAATATATATATACATAACGAGATAAGCTATAATTTATTTATAATTGCACAATATGGTTAAAATGAATTTTATTATTAAAAATTTTAATACTTAGCAATAATGATTAATCCTGACATATGTTTTCTTTAAAATCATCCTATAAACAGGAGTTGTTGCGTTTGACGCGATCAGCGGAATAGGGTCACAAAATGTGAAGGTTCAGTCTATAGTAAAAAAAAAACACAAAAAAAACAACATATTTTCCGAAAAAATGGTCTATCTAAATGAAAGAAATGAGACGTCGCCATTTTCATATGAAAAATTAAATACTTCCGGTATTCCCTTTACTTACTAGCTTCACGATGTTTGCAATATGATACATGTCTTCAGCAGATAAATTAAAACAGACAGTTTATGTTTAGCCTGAATTATGATAACACAAAACACACTTTTTTTTTTTTTTTTTTTTTAAAGGAATTTTACCTTTTTTTTTTTTTTTTTTTTTTTGCTTTTTTTCTTATATTTTTCTTGTCTGGCTCTTTAGATGTACGCAGGATACACATATTTTTGTAACATTACTTGATAATTTTATTAATGTTTTTTATGTAACATTATCACCGACGCTACCAGATGACGCTGATTTCAATGAATAAAATTACCGACAAATGGATGCAAGGATTCTTAAAAAATACCGCAATTGCTTTTGATACGTCATAGTTTCATGTGTTTCACAAAAATAGTCTAAATTTCAATACGGTGTTATGCTTCTTAGGTGTAAAAGGTGATAGGACATTTGAATATTAATAAAGTTTAGGAGTGGTGGCGTATCGGGGTATGGGTAGCACTAATAGCAAGGGACGCCACTAGGTGTACACAATAATAATCTAAATAAACGTGGAGTATACAACAGGAAAAATACAACTAAATAATACACAATAATTTAAACAAAATAAATTAATACATAAAAAAATTGAAATTAAACTAGATTTGTGCATACTTTTCTTTCTCCATTTTCATAATGCATACCTCAGTTAAGGTACGTTCCTTCTAGTTTCTATTATTATCATTTAAAAAAAAATATCAAGGAATCCTGACCCCTAATTTAAACTCCGATGTTGTTAAAATTTGTAGAAATCAGTCAACTACTCACAACCACCTGGTTTTGGATTTAATCTACTTTTTTTTTAATCACATTTTCTAAATTTAGCTCCCTTTTATAAATTTTTTTTTTTTACATTTATATTAACTTCGCGTTTGTGTCTTCTTCATGCTCAGTTCACATCTTCAAATTTTCGTTAAATTTCTTTTTGAACGCACTTTACAGTAAAATAAAACACAGCGTTCAAGAAGCAATTTGACGATATTTGATTTTGAACAAATTTGACAATTAACTGAGCATTAGGACAAAACATTTCGGACGGCTAATGAACTCACTTCCCGTCAACTTATCGCCCTGAAACTTGCCACATATGCTCGCTGCCAACGACAGCATATTTTATCAAATTTTCATCCCCCCCCCCCACCAAAACTTCAATCCCCAAATATATGTTTTTCCTGTTTTCCAATGAGAACATGAAGGAAATATGATGACAAAGATTTCACGAAAAAAAATTCCTAATAACTTGGCCAATAAAGATTATTTAAAAAATATGACAAGTGCGTTTTGTGCATAATATTATCTTTTGTTTTCCTTAAATAGTAGGGGAAATACATCTGCCGTGTAAAAGTTGGTGGGATATTAGAATATTATTATAAAATACAATAATTTAACATGCATTTAAAGTGTTTAATTGAAAAACTTTGCTTCTAATTTTTTTTAATTTCCACATGAAAGTGCGTGTGGGTATGAAGTTGAAAATGTCCAAAAGAGGTGGGTTTGAGGATACAACTGTGGTTTAAAAAATAATAATATGTTACATTTTTAAAAAAAAAATAGCTTCCTAAAATTTTACATTGTGTCTAAAACCTCTCCTCTCACTCCTGAACATTCTTCCCACCTCACTCCTGAACATTCTTCCCACCTCACTCCTGAACATTTTCCCCACCTCACCCTTGAACATTACTCCCACCTGCCTCCTGAACATTTTTCCCACCTCACTCTTGAATATTCTTCCCACCTCATTCCTGAACATTTTTCCCAACTCCCTCTTGAAAATTCTTCCCACGTCACCCTTGAACATACCCCACCCAAATTTTCCGTTTCCACTTAACATTATACAAACATAATAAACCAATGACATGCGTGTGTACAGATGGATCGCCTTACAATTGCTGTGTCTGATCGACGTGAACATCGATTTCCTTTACAATAAAAAAACTCAATGTCCTTTAAACTAGCTATCAACTATTGATGGCAGCGTGTTGCAAAAAAATACATGCTGTTCACTTTATAAAACGACAAGGGAGGCGTCTATAACCATGTTTAAAGGGAAGGGTCTTACACTAGCGTCCATCGTTACTAGCATCCTGATATCCACGCCCCTCTTTTTAAGACATTACATGAATAGATGAGAAATTACCAAAAGCCTGGCCGTGACCCGTTGCAGGGCAACAAAAACCGGATGTTGAACAAATTACTTGCAAACCTAGCTTGGTCCCCCACCCACCCCACCCCCTAAACTTTGAGGTAACGGCAGTGGCTAGATGTGAATTTGTACTTTTGAGGTGAATGTTTCACTACTTCAGTCTTCGAAGCTGACTATAATCCTTGATACGTCTATGAGGGAGACCGGCAACTGAATCCCCCGACATATGATCTAGCCAGAAATGTTAAGTGACAGGTCAAATTTAAAAAAAAAAATTTCTGTTAACATTGGAATGAAACCTTAAGAGCACGAGAGGTTAGGCGGGGGGCAAGGATAGATGTCAGTTTTCTTTATGACTGTAGTAAGTCGATGCAAGAAAAAAAAGGAAGGTTTTACATTTAAAAAAAAATTCTGACTGGGTGTGTGGAAAAAAATATACGGATGGTTAACTGACCCATTTCCCGTCAACCTATCGAGGTGAAACTTTGCACACAGACTATGCACTGGTGGATAGTTTGGCGACAAGACGATGAGATTTTTTTTATTGATTATGTCCATCCAGGCACGTTTCAGAAAAGGAAAAGGAATCTGACCGCGCAAATTAAGCAGGTGGTGTAGGAGAAATGCGAAGCGCATGCTGTTGACAGCCTCGATCTGAGACTAATGTTATCATCTTTCTCTTCAAAGCTGAAGAGGTGAACAGAACAAACAGCAAAGTGTGCAGAGTTCAAACAGAAATCTGTTTCAAACATTCGTTAGTGAGAGGTTTGGTGAGGTATTCATTCACCAATTTTTAATAATATTGTAAGTGTAGATTATTATTATTTAAATTGATGAACTACTGAATATGCATTTAAATCCAATTTATTTTAAGCTATCTATTTAATTGTTTTTTAGTAGCCCGAATGACGGATACAAGTCTTAATGAGTTCAAAACAACAAGTATAAATCTAACCAGGCTGGGGGGTAAATTTTTTTGGAAAACGCTTTCCGACAATCAAAAATCTTTCTCCATTTTGATTAGTGTTTCACCAGACGGTCCGCGGTGAAACTAGGTCAATCCTGTAAGTTCTCTGGACGAACTATGACGTAACTTCACGGTTTTAATTAAATTAAATTTTCATTTCCTCACTTCCAATAATGGCGTCGCATAATTTCCGTGCAACGAAATTCCACCCTCCTTCCTTATCCACTGTTCCGCCTCTGATAAAAAAAAAATATTGGTTATTGACAGATCAACAAACCATGTCCCCTTATGTTGCAAATCAATTTCATTGAAGGCTGAAGTGGGTAGTGGCGTAAATGAATAACCTTAGAAACATTTCGTACTCTTGCTCATAAGGGGTAATAAGGGGAGAGACTGCAATCAGGTTAGTACAAAATAAAATGAGTAAAACAGAGTAGGGTTCAACCTGAAAAAATTTTGTTGTGTTTATTTTTTCAGGTTGAACCCTACTCTGTTTTACTCATTTTTATCTTGCTCATTTGCTCTTATTTCAGATCTTAGGAGAAGCACGGGATAAAACACGAACTCAAGATGATTATTGAATGTTGTGTCAGTGCGATTCTCCTTCACGTGGCACTGTTTATGTTCTGCCTGCCGGGGACGTACTCACACATTTGCCGTCACGCTTCGTTTTGTGAGACGTATTTTCAAAGATTCACCGACCTCCAACTGCCCGGATGTGGAGCAACGGCGACCTCCTCGGGTCAAACATCTCATGGCTGCGCAAGGTCGTGTTTCACAAATCAGGGCTGTACGGCGTTTGACTTCGGGGACAATGTCTGTAAGACGTGTCCAGGCGACCTGGCCACTGGTCTGACGTTCGTGCCAGGACAGAGTATTTTCTTACAGAGAACGATGATGGTCAGTCATTTATATTACGATCCCGGTACATTGCTGGTGAATAAAGTCATCCCGATACCTGGAGGAATTTCAAGCGGGCGTGTGGTAAGCGAGATTTATGACTATCAGAGAAACAATAAGTAGCTATATATATATATATATCTATATTATTTTCTAAACTTCTTCCAAGTCCCAGAAATACAAAGAAAAAATATTTTCAAAAATTGGTTTTAAATAATATATATTTTGCATATTTTAAAAAAAAAACTTTATTTGGAATGTATTATCGGGAAATGGAGATTATAAAAATGTATCTAGTTTTTAAAGATTACACTTGTATGCCTTTAAAATGATCGCTTTTTAGATATTGGATAGTGGATATATTTTTTTTAATATACACATAAATAAGCGCGCATTCTTTGTTTTTACAACTAAAAATATTTATTCACTAAATGTTAACAAGACACATATCTAGCTATAAATACTATATAAAACATTTATATAAAAATGCAGGATATGAATTTACAGAACTTGTGTATAACAAAGTGGCTTACCTTAAACTAAATCTCACCCAACGGCAAAATTGCGCCACACAGAAATCTCTAATTGTTAGTATTTAGGTAGTCCATTTCTTTAGCAGAATAACCAGCAATGAGTTTTGGTCTGGGAGCATTTAAATGAATAATAACATCTAGAAATACAAGTGTGAAGTTAGCACCACCACAAATTTTTATTTTTTTAAAGATAAACATATTTTAGACATAAATATTTACTTTACTGTAGAAATGTCTTTTTTTTTTAAAAATGTATTTCTTATTCTCTTGTGTTTTGAGTTTAAGATTTTTTAGTTAACTTTAAAAACTAGTTTCTTTACGAAATAATCTGTTTGTTTATGTTTCAGGGCTATCTCCACGCCACGGTACTAGCCAACAACAGTTTCAATATAGACTTTGCCCAAGACTTTGCCGTTAAATATATTAATTTCCATTTCAAAGCACGATGGGAATCGGACGATAACAGAAAAATAGTTTTAAACTTTTGCAGCAATAGAACCTGGGGTGTCCCAGCTGTCTCTTCTCCATTTCCGTTTCCGTTCACAGTCGACATGCCCTTCACCTTGCATGTCCTGGTCACGCCCAAAAGTTTCGACGTGTACATCAACGCGAACTTCTGCTGCTACTACAACCACACCCTGGCTGTCGGTGACGTCAGATACATAAGGGTTCTCGGGAATTTAAATGTTCATGAGATGTCAGTCTAAAAAACAACCAAATATTCTTTTAACTTTTTAAAACAAAATTCTTTTTAATTTTAACTTTTACTTTAACAATGCTATGTCCCCTCTCTCTCTCTCTCTCTCTATCTTTCACTCTCTCTCTCTCTCTCATTCCCTCCATCTCTATATTTACATCTAGTCAAATCAATGGCAAAAGTCTATAAGTGGCATTAGCTTATCATACCTTGACAGCTTACTGTCAAAAGTGTAACCATTGATACCTATGGTTATTTTTCCTACATTACATAGATTTGAAGTATTATTATACCTCAAGCAAAAATAAAATTATACTAGGCTGATGCCTTTCCTACAATACTCTATGCAAGTTAAACGTGGACTGGCTATCTATGTCACGCCAACGAGTGAGGAACCACTTTCAAAAGGCTAGACACCGAAGAATCCTGGACACCAAGCAAAGGTCTCCAGACACCCAGGTATTCGCACAAGCAGGTCTCCGAAGCAGATAGGCCCTTTTCACGCAGTCCGAGCTTCGCTGGCCGTGAGAACTTCAGATGACAAGCTTAACCATGAGAATACTTTATCGCGAGCCAGAGCGCCGCTGGCGGTTTCCCTGTGGACAGAATGAAGGTTTCAAAGACACCCTGAGAGTTGTAGTAAAAGCGTCCTGTACAGATCCCGACACGTTGGTAGAATCGTGGCGCTCCTCTATACAGCATACAGCCGCCAGAACAGCTGCTGCAGAGACACATCAAGAAAGTCGTAAGAACATGGTTTAACTCTGCGCCCGGAGATTTCCCATCCATTCTTGCTTCTACTACACACTAATTTTTCGTTCTGGAATAATCTTATCAGCCATCTGTGAGGTCATAGACAGAAGAATCAGCTCCGGCATTAATCAGACAATTAAAATGGACCTGCTCGATTTGCGGACGAACTAACAGCTTTATTTGTATTTCTCTCCATTTATCTCCCTTAATCTATCTCTCTCTCTGCCTTTCTCTCTCTAACACACACACACACACAGACACATGCACAAACACTATTAAACATCGTTATGAAATACATGTCTCTCACTGTCGCTTGTGCCATGTATTATATAAGTGGCGTAAGAAGAAATGAATTCCTTGCGTCAACTGAAGCTTCTCATCCTGATGCCCAACTAAAGCCTAAACAAACAACTCGTTTGTTTTGTGCGCGGGAAAATAGGATCTCAAAGAGATGCAAGACAACCCGCCGGGTCTCACTCAGTAACGTGGTGGTCTCTTTAAAAAACCATATCATCAACAAGGAGTGTCTACCCCCCATCCCACACCCCATGAGTGGAAGGGACCTATCTGCCCCCACCCCCTATCCCGTTCTGCATGGTAGTCAATTCGAGAGCTCCCAAATTATTAGAACATTGTTCAATATTCAATAGAGACACTTTTACAAAAAAATCATTACTATTTTTCTCATTTTGGCTAGTAGCTCAATATGTATGTAGATTTTTCGACAAATCAAATTATCAAAAATACAGAAATAGTTTTTAAAAAATTGAAATTTACAGTAATTTTATTTTTAAATCGTTGACACAGAAAAACAACTTTGTTTTAAAAAAAGCTACTTTAGATATTGTGTTTTTTTAGAATTACTTGCAAGGAATGAAACTTTTAAAAAATATTATTATGAAAGTGCAGAGAAATGTCTAAAAATTTGAATATCTGAAACTTCTGACACCAATTTCTGAGTGATGCTTTTAGCAAAGATGATGCATTTTGAAGTTTTTCATATAATTAGTGACTTATAGTGATACCTAATAGTTATTTATGATCAAGTAATAGAATTAGACAGATGAAAAAAAGAACTGAGTTTGGTCTAACAATAAAAAAAAAGATTCACAATCAACTGTTTGACAGGAGAAGGACTTCTTCTTATTTTTATTAGTGATGTATAATTTAGACACACTTTATTACCATCTGTGATGCCTGGACTTGCTTGGATTACTTACATCCAACTTTACCATTTTTTTTTCTGCCTCAACGCTCTTAATAGAAATCTGGTCGCTACTAAGTCATAAAAATGAGCGGAAGTCAGGATCGAAGCCCTTCTCACAACTCCCTTTCTGAGAACAGTCATAAAATTGTGACGTGTATCTCAAAACGAACAACCCCCACCAGACCACTACTTTCCTCGACACCCCTACCCAGGTTTTAAGTTATAAATTAAAATTCGCTCAACACTATTGAAACAAAGGACAAGGTTGTTTACATATAAAACATTAAACGTGTACTTTTATTGCTGTATTTATTTTAGACTTGTTATTGATTTCCTATTTAATTGAAGTCCTTGCGGTCTGTAAATGTGGTAACTATAGGTGCCAGCTGTTTGCCAAATGTTTAATCAGACTGTCTTTGTTCATCTTAGAAGACATCGCATTTTTTTTTTCTGAAAACCTTCATTTTGTGGATCAACCGTTCTACTGTTCTGTCCCTGAAAAATTACTTGGACAAGCACACATCTAAAATTAAATAGCTTGCTACTGTGAACTCATCAAATTGAAGTCAGGAGCGGTTCCAGGTGTATCCTATCAGCTAGAAACAATTGCATTGTTACCATTGCAGTATTTTAGAGATCCCTGGGCTGAAAAGAAAATATATATTCAAAATGTTTACCAGAAAAAGTCAATGCTCCAACCTTGTCAGTCTTCTAAAATTACCAATATGGGTGTTTTTTCTGCCAGTGGCGTCTCCACATATTTGCACTGGTGCTTCGCTCTGTGAGACGTATTTTCAAATATTCAACGAGCTCCAGCTGCCTGGGTGTGTGCCATCAGCTGTTTTGAGACAATCGTCTTTGGCCTGCGCATGGTCGTGTTTGACCGATCAGAATTGTACGGCGTTCAATTACAATGACACTATTTGTAAGACGTGTCCAGGCAGCCTGGTCACTGGTCTGGCGTTTGTACCAGGACAGAACATCTTCTTGCAGAGAACGATGAAAGTCACGAATTTAAATTACACGCCCAGTGCTGGGGACGTGTATCAAGTTCTGCCGATACCTGGTGGAATATCAAGTGGTCGGGTGGTAAGTAGGATACGTTGTACTTTGAAATAGAAAGTAGTGTGTAAAATAATGTTATATTTCTCCACTGTGTTTGAGGCAACGAAAAAAAAATTTTTTTTATAAAGTTAAAAAAAAAAAATGATAAAAAGAATCCTTACGCAGACTTTCATCATAACTAGAAGCATTTTCATAAATTAAGTGGGTTTTTTTTTTTTTTTTTTTTTTTGTGGATAACCAAAGTGAAGCTAATAAATTGATATAAATTGGTTGAGAAATGAAAAAAAAAAGAACATTCGTTTGGAAAAGGTATTGTTTGATATTTATGAGTTATAAATAATGATCAGAAAATTTGTTCGAAGCACTAATTTTGGTATCGACCACAAGCCCTGCTACACTGATGTACGTAGCCAGGCCATTGACTTCCTTAAGAGTTCACAGAGATTACCCGGAGTGTATACCTTGCCACCATCTTCCAGTTGATTTCAATATTTCTCTTTAGAAAGAAAGGAAACCGAGAAACCCGACTGTTTCTCTTGCTTTTGAGATGAACCCTGGTGTGAACTACCCCCGGATGTCCCGCAGAATTCTCTCGAACGCCTTTAAATCCCCCCCCCCAACCCCATTTGTGAGCAATGGTAGACTTTTATTAAACAATCATCATGCGCTCTTGAAGTACCATGACTAGATGTGTATACACTGTATCGAAACGTTCCACAAAAAAAAAGAGAATTACAGCGATGAATTTGCCTGGCAGTGTGTAGGCAGTGTGTAGTCAGAGTGAGTTTATGTATTACCCCGTCGATGAAAGTGGTTTCTATACACGAGGAAGCTGCAGAAATATCGATTTCTTTCCTTTTCTTTAGCTATCAAACAAACTTTTTAAAAAAAAAAATTAAAAGCCTTCAGCAATGACAAGCCTTAAAAAATCTTAAGTTTTTTAATTAAATTGATTTGATAGAACCTTTTTTAGTTATAAAAAAATGATACGTCTATGGACCGGACCACAACTTTTACAACATTGAATAATGAAGAAAATGGGCATCAAAAGATCTAAAGAGGCGATCACTTAATCTTGTGGAGAAATATTTGCAACAGTGAGAGATTTCATGGGAAAAGTTTATGCGAATGTACATGATTTTTTTTTTTTTTTGTAGAATCCCAAAAGCAAAGAGAGCGTGCCATTCTTGCAGACCGCCATGTAACAGTGTCAGGAATTGATTTGCAAACTCAGAATTAACTTCCTGTGCACGATGACGTGCATATATCACGTGAGACGGTCCTCAATCAGACAGATGGAGTTTAGCATCCAAACAGAAATCTTAAACTCAATTGAAACTACCGAATAATATTTTCACATCCTGATTTTATTCAAATAAGTGACTCATTACATCTTGCTTTTTCGCAACGTTGATCCTGTAGGTCTTTGCGGTGGAACGGCTGATCAACAAGCAAATCTTCAATTACTTCATCCAGAAAGCCTTACCTTCGGGGTGTGCAGGAGGCAAGGCTATCCTCATTCACAGAATACCTAGAATTTCAATTGATAATATATTTCATTCAAAACAATGCAGCTTCCAGTTAAATTATATTTTGCCAATGATTATGAAATATAAACAACAAAGATAGTCGGACGAAATATCCCTGTGTGCACAACGCTGAGAGTAGCATTGTGTTCAAAAGGATGTTTCCTCTAACCGGTCTGTTGTTGTTGTTTTTTCATAATCATAACATCTGTATGTTGCTTGCTCCCGTGTTAGCAGGAACGATAAGCTTTTCAACCTGGCCTCTAGTGCATAAACCAAAAAGGTTATCTAAAGAAGTAAACTACAATGGCGTTAGCATTAAAGTTCACGGAATCACTTGCCAGAACAGAACATTTCAAAAGACCTCTTGCTATGTTTCTCCTTTTTATGTAAAAAATAAAACCCTTAATAATTAATGTTTTAATGCTGGCTGATTTATATAAATACTTAAAATGTCTTGTGTTTTAATTTATATAACTATAGAAATGTTGGCTTGGTTGATTATGTACATGTTATGTGTATAAAATTAATAAGTACGCTGGAATCAAAAAAACATTTCCATTTATTTGGATCGAAAAGAATATTATACTATATTAAACTTATCTTATCATTGATGATTTTGTCTTTAAGGTGTGCATTAATTTTTGGTAAAAATAACAAATAATTTGTCATTTTAATCGTTTTTGGCTGTGATTATTCTTAAAATGTCAGAATTTGTCAATTTAATTTTTTTTTTTTTTTTTTTTTTTTTTTTTTTTTTATTTGTTTATTTTTTTTTTTTTTTTTTCTTTTTTTTGTTTTTTTCATAAGTGAGTATACATTTTTTTCTTCTCACTTTGATATGTATGTTTGCACTATTCAGTTCATTTGAAGTCATAGATATTATAGTGAAGTTATATCGTGATCTCTTTTATGAATCTCTATATGTTTTTTTTTTCCAGGGCTACCTCCACGCGACACTACAGGCCAATGACAGTTTTGTCATAGACTTTGCTCAGGATTCTGCAGTGACATCCGTCAATTTTCATTTCAGAGCCAGGTGGAATTCGAACACGGACAGAAGGCTGGTTTTAAACCACTGCAACAATGGAGCCTGGGGTAGCCCGGAAGTTTTCCCTCCATTTCCGTTTCCGTTCACGGTCGGCCTTCCCTTCACCTTGCATGTCCTGGTCACAGCCAAAAGTTTTGACGTGTACATCAACGGCACCTACTGCTGCTACTACAACCACACCCTGGCTGTCAGTGACGTCAGATACATGAGGGTTTCTGGGAAATTACACATTCATGATTTTTCCGTCTCAAAAAAAAAAAAAAAACTATCCTCCCCCCCCTCTGTCTATCCCTCCTCTACATTTCTACTACCCTCCTTCTCTCTTTCTTTCACCCTCCATTCTTCTCTCTAAATGCCCCTCTCTATCACTGCCCCCCTCTCTATCACTGCCCCTCTCTATCACTGCCCCTCTCTATCACTGCCCCTCTCTATCACTGCCCCTCTCTATCACTGCCCCTCTCTATCACTGCCCCTCTCTATCACTGCCCCTCTCTATCACTGCCCCTCTCTATCACTGCCCCTCTCTCCCTCCCCCACCATTTCTCACTTTATCCTCTGTATCTCTTACCTCTTCTCTTTCTCTCCCAATTTCTGTCTATCTCATTCTCATAACCCTCTCTTTCCCACCCACTCTCTCTCACTCCCTCCCTCTCTATTTTTCTTCTCCCCTCTCTATATCTGTCGCCTTCTCCCCCTCTCTGTCACCCTCTCTTTCTCCAACCCTCCCACTCTTTGCAACCTCTCTGTGCCATCCACCTCTCGCTGCTACCATCTCTTTCACTCCTCTCCCCTCTCTCTCTCTCTCTGTCACCCTTTCTCTTTCCTTTCCTTTCTATCTCTGCCACCCTGCCTCTCAGACTGCCGCCATATCTCATCT